ATCCCGTTGGCAGATGAGTATGACCCGATGTTTCCCAACGACTATGAGAAGGTGGTGAAGCGACACCGGGAAGAACGACAGCGACAAAGGGAGCAGGAGCGGCAGAAGGAAATTGAGGAGAGAGAAAAGTACTGTCATGCTTGTTGAACTTGCTCAAACAGCGATTAAAAGCAGCAGCACTGATTAAACAAGAGAATATAATGTTGGAGGCATAAGAGACAAAGTTCTGCTGATTAAATGCTGGAATCGGTCTACCCATCCAGCTTAAGAATGATAGTTAATCAGTTTGTCTTTTCCTAGTTATTGTTATTTGGGATACTTGTGTATCTCGGTGCATCTGTAATGCAGAAAATGCTTTAGGATGTTATTTGCAACGTGATAGTAATTTGTATGAAACAAAAGAATCTCAGGGCTCCAGTCTGAATCTGAAACCTGGTGTATTGCAGGAAGAGGAAAGACAGGCACGATGGTGGAGCTCCAAGCGGTTTCTCTCGTTTCCCGGCAGCAGAGGGCGACTCAGATGAGGATGAGGAGTACGAGAAAGAGCGGAGGAAACGAAGTGTGTATTTCCCACTGCTCAATTCAAAGTTATTATTATTATTATTATTATTATTATTATTATATTCAGAGTACTAATAACAGTGAATGACAGTGAATGTAATTGGGATGTCTTGACCTTTATTACATAATGAATAAAACAAGTTTTTAAGTTAAAAGTCAAAACAGAGCATTAGAAAATGGATCTGAAGTCAAGCAATAATAGAAACTCATGCTATGGTCTGAAGGCTGTTCATGTCCAGATCATTAGTCTTCTCTTTTATGAACTAGATCATTTTTTAGTTTTTCCCCTCAAACACAGGTTCTGTGTTCATTTCTCACGAATTATATGTGTGACGTTTTTCTGCAATCTTTATGTCTCTGTTGTCATTTCGAGTGAACTGTGGCCAATAAGAGGGCGAGATAGATCAACTGCATGAGCGTGATATTTACTGCGGCTTTAAAGGGAAACAAAAATACATTGACAATGATACAATTGTTTACAACCAAAACAACAGCTAGGTTTCTCTGTCTGTCTGTCTGTCTGTCTCTCTCTCTCTCTCACTCTCTCTCAGGTATGGGTGGAGCAGCCATTGCTCCTCCCTCATCACTTGTGGACAGAGATGGTAGGTGTGATGATGATCCATCAGGTGAGATTGTATTTTGTCAATTTTTAACATCAACATAATTAATACAGAGTAATTTCAGCAGAACCCCTGTCTGAGTAACATTAAACTCCATTTAAGGAGAAAGAAAGAAACAGCATGATGCATGTTAGGATTTGGTTAGGTGGTGGAAAATGTTACAAAATATTTACTTATTTACTTATATGTATAAAGAGTTATCTATCTGAAGTATGCATTTACCTCAAATTTCAGTGCAGCTCTACATGTCTGCAATGGTTGTGTTGTTGTGTGTGTTCAGGCTCGTCTTCATACTCCTACGAGGATGAGAGTCGTCCTCCCAGAGGCTCGAAGGCCGCCATCCCTCCACCTATGTATGAGGACTCAGACCGGCCGCGTTCGCCACCTGGACCTACCAGTTCCTTCTTGGCCAACATGGGGTAGGTGGGACACACACACACACACACACACACACACACACACACACAAAGCCACAAAGATACACAGCATGCAGACATCTCACCTCTTTACGTCTTGAACGCCATACATTTCTATTGGAATGAAAAAGATGACGTGTATTATTAATCTAGTTTGAGCTTATTAGCTACTAGAGATGAACCGATTGATTAATCAATTAGTTAATTAACAGAAAAATAATCAAATTAGGATAACAATAATA